CCTATTAATTTTATTATTGAGCCATTTAGAAATTCCAGCTCTTGGAATTTTTCTTCAATAAGTACTAATTCTAGAACAGCATTTCCTGAAGTGTTCCATGGATTAATAGTCCAATAAGATGTGACTCTTATCGGGTTTCATGGTCAAAGAAGTTTGGAAAACATGAAAAATAGTACTGCCCTCCCCCACAAATTCAAATGTGTATTAGGTTAGGAAGGCTCTAAGAGGTCCTGATATAAATAATTTGGCTTATTTCACCCTTCCCGCAATTAACATCCATCAATATCCAATGCAACTAAAACTCCAGGTACCACAATATGGGAAATTCTGCTCTGGAAGATATTTCAGCAGTCAGATTTTTATTAAAAATAATACCTAAAACCTTCTATACAATTAATCAATAAAATGTTATTATCACCTATAAGTTACCAGTGCATCTGGGACAAGAATTGCCAACCATGACTAGGGAATTATGTAAATTCTGCAAGGGCAGAGGTTGAGTGTATTTGGGTGATTGTATCGCCAGTGCTTGGCAAAGGACAGCACACAGTAGTAGTGTTGAATGAGTGAACAGATGATGTAGACCTAATCTAGGGATGTGAATAACTACCCCTTCCCCAGTGATGTCTTATTTACAAAAAGAAAGAAAGTCCCAAAGAGCCTTAGGCCAATGAGCTTCTAGAATAAAAGGAATACAATAATGGATCTTACTCCAGGGCTACCACATCCAACTTCTCCTTGGATCCTAAAGCATCTTTCATACTCACCCAATGAGTGAAATACTGATTTGTAATTCTGAAACTGGATTTTATAACAGAGGATGCACTTTGAGTCTCAGCAAGGGGATGTGACACTCTAGCTCGCCACAGCTGCAGAATCAGGACAGCATCTACGTGAGGACAAATGCTGAGACTGGACTTGAGGTAAAGTAGAAGGCAAACAAGTTCCTTCTCAACTCTGTTTATCAAAAGTGAGATGCTTAATGCCTAGGTTTTTGCATCTATACCTAAAGGTCAATAACTTTGAGACTGCTAAAGAGGATTGATATTAGTATGGATGAGTGAGTCTGTTATCAAACAATGAATTGTAAATTTTGCATATCATTCTGAACCCAGAAAATGATCAGTATTAGCAGTCTTCAAAAAAAAATTTTAATCCCCAAACTGAAACAACATACTTTGTTGTTTCATTTTTAAACCTATTGAGAAAAATGTCCTCGGGGGGCACCTGGGTGGCTCGGTCGTTGGGCGTCCGCCTTTGGCTCAGGTCATGATCCCAGGGTCCTGGGATCGAGCCCCACATCGGGCTCCCTGCTCATCGGGAAGCCTGCTTCTCCCTCTCCCACTCCCCCTGCTTGTGTTCCCTCTCTCACTGTCTCTCTCTCTCTGTCAAATAAATGAATAAAACAAAATCTTAAAAAAAAAGTCCTCAAATCCTTAAGTTAAAAGGACCATTTGGAAAAAGAATCTGTAATATCAACCAATATTCAAAGATATAAAAAGGAGTGTTTCTGCATAAAGATACCAAATATTTTATATAAAAATATATTAATTCAAACTGTCATAGATGGTTATATATTATATAATGTAATTTCTAAAACTTTGGGGAAAAATTTGTTCTCTAAGACTCTAGTTTAAAGAAAAGACAATTACATCTACTTTTATGTAAATACCAAGAAGTCTTCTCTTTTTACATGTGATTACTACAGTCTCTGAACCAAAGTTTGGGATGAATAGACTGACAATTTGTGCTATTTGGGGGTCTGAGAAGCAGGATGGAAGATAGAGTTTGGGTACTGACTATTTAAAATTCATGGGACCTAAGTTTATAACAACAGCTGGGCATAATACTGTAACTTGTCCCTGACCTGGAAAATCTAGGTGATTAAATTATTAAGTAGCACAAGGCTTACTGTCTAAAATTTCACAACTTTTGAGACTGTACTGGGAGAGGGCCCAGGAAATCTTCTTTGAGAGTCTGAGTTCCCCCTCCAAAACAAGTGTGACTTTGTAAGAAGCCTTTATCCTTTTAGTCCCAAGATTTTTCATGATGTATTTAAAGCCTGGAAGTTGTAAATCTCAAAATGGGCAATAAAACCTGAGGGTAATAAAGCAGTTTGAATGTAGGTGTACATGTCGTGTTTGGCAGACAGAAGCAGTACTGGCTTTTGGTAGCATATTGGGAAGGTGTGGTGGGTCACCTGGCTGCCTGTTGCTAACTATCCAGTAACTCTTGCTAAAAGCTAGGGCAACCCAAGCAGCCCCAACCATATGAGAGCTCCATGGACTTCTCTCCAGGACAACTGAAGTAATGGGGTCTTTAGCTGGCCCAGACCACTGATCTTTGAAGCTGCTCAGAACTGTAATTCTTCCTGACCAGTTGTGAAGTAAGGCCTTGTGGTTGGAGCTGTGCAGCTGTTGGAAGGGTGCTTTTGCATTGACCTGCCTGAGAGGCGAGGCCACATAACTCTGTTCACCCCAACATGCTGCAGATCCCCCCATTTCTTTTTTCCCCAAATCTGAAGGGAGCAGAGTGACCTAAGGTTGCTTTTATTACATATATGGGTATGGTCTTTCAGAAGAGGCCTACTCACTGAGAAGCAAAAATACTTTCACCTGTTTTTACCTTTGGACCTTGAAAATTAGTCTTTAAAAGAAGCAACACAAAACAAATACCTGATGTATTACTTTGTAATGTACAGCTCCAATCTCAGAACATACATATATATATTCTGTATATGTATATATATTCTAAGACACGATTTGGTTCTCATGGATTCATGAATCAGAAGCAGGCAGTGTGCCCCTCAATAGGAATAGAGTTAAAAATTCCACTTCTGCTCTTCACAAGCTTTGCAGAGTGTTCTGAACACATGGAGTATTTTCAAGAGCAGATACAGAATCCACTAACATTTATTGAGAGCCTTCAGGGTCCCACACTCTGTGCTACATTTTACATATGTAGTGCCATTTAATCTTCACAGTGATATCAGTCCCTCGCTAAGGTGCGTGTTACTTCCAGTTTGCAGATGAAGAATGGTCTCTCAAGTGGTACATCTTAGACTCACAAAAATTGTGGCAGAGCTACGAAGTCATGTCCTCTTACTAAGCCAGGGCTTCATTCCATGAGCCACAGAGCCCCCTACAGGCCACACCATACTAATATGCGAACCCATGGAAATAAGTAGGCACGGCCAGGAAGATAGAACCAATTAGAGACAAATGGGATTGAAAGTCTCCAGACAATCCAAAGATTTTTCTGAATTTATCTGAAGGGTATGCTAATGATTTGTGAAAAGGGTACCAAGTCATTTAGAATGTACCTTTTTATAGTAATATTCTATTAGACAAATTACAGATTTTTCAGAGCTGGGAACTAAAAGAATAAGTACTTGGTCATATGAAATTGATTTTCATATAATATAATATAAATATATCTATTTATATAATATAAATATAAATTTTAATTTATATATGTTATATATATAATTTATATATAACATATATATTTATATATACTTATTTATATATCATATATATTTATATATAAATTTATATATTAAATATTTATATATAATATATATTTATATTTTTCAATTTATATATATTCTATATAATATATATAAATTATATATAAAATATAAATATAAATTTTATTTGTATATTTATATATGTATATAAATAAAAATATATATATTTATTATATATATAATATAATAAAAATACACAAATCATTTTCCACTATTGTCCTCCAGGCAATAACTAATATTTTTATGATAAAAAAGTTATTTTTTTCTCACTTAGATACCCACAAGCTCCATGTCACAATAACTTGCTACTCAAAATTGCTATTTCTAAAATAAATTTTTCTGTTACCTCATGATACATTGTGGTATAAGGACAGTTAATATGCAAATTGCTAACATAATTTCATATATATCTTCCCTCCTGTTGCTCTTTAGTTTGGCACTGAGCAGCTGAGGTCTGAAGTTTTCATCAAAGAGCACTGAACAAGGCAATTTATAAAATCAAATGAGGATTCTTTTTTCAATTATTTCATTCACTGTTTATACCTACTAAATTGTGGAACAGTCAATGAAATGCATTGATGCATGGATTATTTCTTCCTCTGTTTGACTATGTCTAAATGCAGGCTTATTTTCAAGTGGTACAATATAGTAGAATAGTGAAGCATGATGGCTCCAGCTCAATGAGTAACTCAAGGCAAGTTAGTTATCTCTTTAGGTCTCATTTTCATCATCTGTAAAATGGAGATCATAATATACCTCTTACATATGGTCAGTGAGAGGATTAAGTGAAATAATCCACGGAAAGCCATTAGCAAGATGCCTGTCACATAACAAGTACTCAGCTCTTATTAAGATAATGATTATGAGATCTCATACTGAGACATTACTGTTCTTATATATTTTAGAGCAGAAATATTCTCAGAACTATATTAACCATTATGCTTAGCCAAAAGAGAGTAAAAGCATGCAAGAGCATCATTCTCAGCTCAGCTCAGGTTGCTGGTTTCCCACGCAGCACATGCCTGGGGCAGACAGCTACTATGGGCAGTAATTGCAGTTATTATAGACATGGGGCAGGCAGAGCAGCTGGAAAGGCCCATGGATTAGACAAAGGCAGACTGGCCTCCAATTGAGACTGTGTTAGAGGACAGTAGAGGATTAGTAGTTGGGACAAGACAGCTGATCAAATTCGAGAAGACATACAATGGTCTAGGCAGCAACAGTGACAGATCAAGCCCAGAGAAAGAGGGCTGAGTTCAGCAAGCTGGAGGTATCTGGCAGGAGTCATGGTCCCAGAGAATCCCCCAGGGAGACACCTCATTGAGAGCATTTGACTTGGACTGAAGGCTTTTACCCTTGAAGTTCCAAATGGACTCATTTGTTATTAGAGAAAACTCATCTCTTTGTGACAGGCTTGGCCAAGGTGGGCCAGGGCTCATCGTTATCCCTCCGTAAACTTGAGGTCTATCTGTCAGAGAGTAGTAACACTAAGTCTTCCTATCTGGAACTCCCTGAGAATATGTATGAACCCAGTGGGTCTGGTAGGCTGATCAAAGTAGAGCAGAGTCACTTTCCTTTCATGGGGCTGTGACCACCAAAAGATGTAAGAATGAATCTTCTGAAAGAGGTCCCAAGCAAAGTGATGATCATGGGAAATAGAACAACTTTAACTGGATATGCCAGCTCCAAACAACAAAGCATGAAGTTTTTAAAAATTATGAATTGGATATTTTACCTGCCTGACAAACTAGAGACTTGGGGATGTTCCAGCAACTTATATTTTATTTTGTATATTTAATGTCATGCTACTGCCACCATCAATGACAAAGTTGTTGTTATAATCAATAACCTCTACTAGATTTCTGGGCAGGGTCTGCTTGCTTTCTGAAGCTAATTCCAATAATGTTTTTTGAAAATGTTTTGACTCTCACTGTATAGGCAATCAGGAATGAGCCAGACTTCCACACAATGAAAAGAGTTATCCTGCTCCCATGAGCACAGAGATAAGGCATGATGATACAGTGGTGGAGCAGGATGCTACTCCCAATTCATTCTGAGACACCTTATAGGAAACCAAATTGCTGGGGACATTTGAAAGCGGAAATCTGTTCTACTAAGAAACATCAGGGGACCTGGAGGCCAGGCTAGATTAAGTAAGGCAAAACTGTTAGCAAAACTGTGCAAAAGGTATTGCACATCACATTTATATGATGACCCATGGGGGAAGAACGTGCATTTATGCACAAAAATACTTAAGGTGCTAGAATCTAAGTGGTATGGCAAGGTAAATATAAAACAAAGATAGATTATTCCAGAATTTCAATACAGTCAAAAGGTTAATAACCACCCTAAAGCAACACTAAAACCATCATATATCACTGGACACAGCAATGGTTGATACTGTCAGGAATTGGGGCTATGAGAAAATGCAAAGGCAGTAAATCCAAACTTTTAACTCACGGGCGGAATGATTTCTGATACTCAGTTTCCATCAGTCAAATAAAATATTCAGTCACTTAATTTCTATTAAATTAATTCTATTGTCATTCATGGCAAAGGCATCCTAAACACTTAATTTTCATATTATTTTTGACTTGCAAATCGTGAGATAAATACACACTTAAGCAACAGACCTTTTCCAATATGGCTCATCAGCGCCCTCTAGTGATCATAAGGCTAGTTCAGACAAGTCATTTCCCCCCCAAAAATTGTTTTATAAAGGCACACAGATTCACTGCGTATTCAATTTCTGCTGTTTGCTAAAAATAGATCTTCTGCCACTGTTATTTGCTCTCAAGTTACTGCTCTCTTTTTAGAATCCATAACAGATAAAACCGTTTATTAAAGAACATGCAATGCAATCATCTGAAAACATGTCAAAGCAACCTTTGCTTGATCCCAATGTGAATACATTGTTTTCGCTGCTGGGGAGCCCTTTAGCCACTGGATAAACATGATTACAAAGGAGTCAAGAAACATTTTTTTTTTAATAAAACACTTGTATAGTTGCTTCATTTCTCTTCCTAACTTCTCTCTGTGTATTCCAGCGACTATCTTACATGATCACAATGGCCATATTCACAACACTCTGTATGACAGTGGCCTGATCACTTATTTCCTACCACATTTGGTATATGTTTGTTTTTGTTGTTGTTGTTGTTTTTTAAATAAAGACTTTCAGCAGATGTTCCCATTCCTTCACTGTGTACCAGGGTTCTTAAACAGGTGGCCTCTGGAATAATTGTGATCTGCAAGCATGGTCTAGTTGCATTTTAAATTTTCTTGCTAGTTATAATGCTCAAGGTAAAGTCCAAAGCTGCAGTTAAACATTTAAAAATCTGAATTTCTGGCATCCCCTAAGAGAAGAAATAACAGTTGGCAGTGTCTGTCCGTCCAGCATCCCTGCATAGCAACATATCCGGGATGCCAGTGGGGCTTACCCCTTTAGGTAAGGCCTGTGTTCTTCAGTAGCCAGTCACAGCTTAGCCCACATCAGCCACAAGGGTTTCTTACCTGGCCCCTGTAGGCATTTGAGTTGCAACTCCCGAGTCTGTGACCCCTTTGAGGTCTTCCTGTAAAACTTCTCTTTCTAATACTATAACCAAACTAATCTTCTATCATATTAGCACAACAAAACTCTATCAGAGGCACAGACTAAAGGGAACACACTGTCATAAAGAAAAGGAAAAGAATATTCTTAGTAATAGAGGATTGCAAACACACAAATGAGTAGTTTAGGTTGAGGTCAAATACAATCGATTCTCTCAGACCTGATGAAGTACACTTCATACTTATGAATCATGTCTTCATTCTCAGATGACAAGACCCTCACCATGGGTTCAAATATAGCAAGTAAGCAATGTAGATACACCTAACAACAAGCCACCTGCTCACATCTCAACATTTCCCTCTTGGAACCCAAGACCTGCTGATCAAATGACTGGCCTATCAGGCCATAAAAAGGAAACATGGCACTCACGGGTGTGCTGCTGTCTGAGAAGGTGTTCATGCTGACAGAGCTGCTCAGCTTCTCCGAGGACACAGAGGGTGGGGACGGGCTCCTCTTCTCCAGGGGGTCCTGCCTCTGCAGGTACTCACGCCAGGCTCTCTGAATGCTGGAAAAACAAACCAAAACAGCACGTGCACTATCACTACCTGGTCACAGCCCACAGACTCAGCAAAGCACAAGGAGTCTGAAGAAATTGGCTTTGGAGACAGGGAAAATGTAGCACATAGAATGTGACACAGGAGATCAGAAGACCTGTACTGGTTCTCTATTTTACTGATTTGACAGTCACAGACTAAGCTAAATCGTCTTAGTCAGAAAAAGCCATCAAAGTGAAACTGGCTTGCACATGTAAATGTACTTTGATTTATGGGACGTAAAATCCTTCAATTTCTCATCCTATATTTCAAATGAAAATAATAAATAGGTTGCTTTATCACTTACTCATGCACCAATACAGCCTTGTTGAGGGACTCTTCTGAGCCAAGGTCAGCCCTAGGTGCGGGACAGTGACTGCAACGCAGCTCTAGAGGGGGCCATATGCACAGACCTCAAGGCCAAGAAAATCCCATGATGCTATATAGTGTAGTCTACTTGGCCAAACGCAGTGGCCCCGCTATGGGGACAAGACAGTCAAGAGCCCTGTGGTCATGAATTTTTACATACTGTGGAAGGAAACAGGTGATATATGATAAGCAAATAAAGGAATGGACAGAGAGGGCAGAATACCTGAAAGTTATATGAACTATTCAAAAAACGAAAATAACACATGATTAGGTGGCTATTTGAAATTTTACCCAAGGAAGCGTTTTTATTTCCTGTGCTTAGTACCAAAACAAAGTCATCTGCTTTGTATAACAGAAAGCTCTTCGTTGTGAAAGCTAAGTAATTTTTTTTCCACCTGGACTGCTTTCTAATCTTTGAGATTAACATCTAGTTTTTCACAGAGGATCAGTGAACACAATTCTCTTCTGGAAATTAACCAAACATGAAGACCAATTTTTAAGAATCAGCCTTTTAAAATAGTTTTAAATAGTTGCATTAATTCCATTACTATCTCTTCTAGACTCCGGGAAGTATCTGATCTTCCATAATTCTTCCCACACACAATTAAGGCAATTAAAGTTGTTTCTCTATAGACAAACTGATTTATTTTCACTTGGCTAGCATGGTTCAAAGACCATTAAGTCTCAGTAGTCAGAGGATAGAAAGGCCACAAAAATGCTACCATGTTACTAAATTTATACATGTCCCCTAATTTATTAAGGCTCTGAATTATAATGCTCAAGGTAAAGTCCAAAAGCTGCAGTTAAACAATACCTTTGGGTCAGAGGCCAATTTCCCCTGAAGCTATGAAACATAAGCTTCAGGAGCCCTTACAGGTCAGGAGTTTCTTCTAAGATCCTATGAGCAGCTCTTCATGGTTTGTATAAAATTGCAAAAGTAGATATCTTCCAGGGTTTTTTTTTTAAGAGGACTCCAAATTATATATACACTCCAGACCCTATTAAGGTAGGATATGGCCCTGCTTTGGATTATATGGGGTTACTGTTTTATTATACAAGGCTTGCTCCAAAATATATCCTCATTTATTTACTTTTATTTGGTTTAAAGATTTTAAACGGAATCTCAAAGAAGGTTCTGTAAGAGTTTGTTAGTCCTGTTGCTTCTTCAGGGACCCATTTTGCTAGGGAGTAGCAAACTTTTGGAAACTGTTAATAATTTCTACATCATCTGACGTGCTTAGGGTCTTCCAGAGTCCTGCTAACAAGTTCGGCCACTGGAGGGCACCTAAACGCTGTAAACCTGCCCATCAAGGGCTTAAAAAAAAGTGACATTGTAAAGGCTATTTAAAAAATATAAAACATTTACAAGGCATGAAATACCCACACGTTTATATTGAGGTGTTCCTCTCTCTCTCTCTCTCTTGCTCGCTCATAGTCTTGATTATTCAGAAAATATAGCAAGAAAATGTAGTAGCCGTTTGAGAGTTTACTTTTTAGTTTATTGAACACCAGGGGGCAGTGTGACACCTTTAAAGAACCAAACAAATAATGCCAGGCAAAACTGGAGTGAGATCAGCAAAGGTGAATTTTCGCTTAAAGCATCCACTTCCCCTTCCTGGTTCTATGGTGCCTGGAAAGTGACTTATCAGTTTTCTTAAGTCAGAGATTAAGAAGGCAACATTCCTTTCTTCCCGGTGGGTGGGTATCCTCTTTTAGTTGACAGAGAATGCAACAAAATTAAATACCTTTAAAATGTGTATTAAAATCACCTTTAAGCCTCCTCCCTCCTTAATACAAAAGCTATTTTAATTTTTTTGAATACTTACCTTACTATCTTTGTGCACATATATGGAAATAATTTTACTTAGTTGGAAGCATATTATACTATATTTTATTCTTTTTTTAACTCAGAAGTTAAAAATGAGAGGCCAGTCACTTCACTATTATCTAAATTGCTACATTGGATATTTTTTAAATGGTGGGATCATGCTATTAGTACTTTCTGAATCATAAGAAACTATTTACATCACACACTGTTTACTCCCACTTGACCACTTTGTAGATTAGATTAAATTGTTCTCTAATTAGCTCTCTGAATACAATCTCCAAATGCTATTTTACCGAACGAGGGAATTAAAACAAAATGCAGAAGCACCTCAACCCTCAGTCACGGAAAATCACTTTTCAGCCTTCTTATCCCAGCTGTACCACAATTCCTACTCACAGGTCTCCTTTAAGGCTGCGGGGTAAATCCTGAACACCAACTACCTTGACATTTTTATTTCTAAAACTAAGCCTTGCTATCAATACAATTCTTTAAAGGCTGGTTGCAGTAAAGGAGCACATCATGTGTGTTCCTATATTTTGAATTATAAATATAGAGGCTTATTTCAAAGTAGATGAGAAATACATTTTTCGATAATTTTTTTGCCTGTCCAGCTCCAGTTTGTCTTCCATGTCAAGGATGGTGTCTTCACCCGCCTCTGCCATCTCTCTATACATCCCCGTTTGTTTCACAGCGCCAGTGGCTCCCTCCTGCCCTCACAGCTGGTGAAGTCCTGGTTGTCCCTGGCTGTCCTTACGTACAAGGTATCCTTGCCTAGAAGACAGCTCTTCTGCAAGCTGTGATGCTTAGAGAAGGTTCCAGGGAGTCCTGGTGCTTTAAGTAGCCTTGAAGGATGGAGGGGATTTAGATTGATAAGAAGGAGGAAAGGCGTTTGGGCAAAGCCTTGGAGGTGAGGGTACCAGGCAGAAGGCAGGAGGTTCCCAGAGGAAAGGGGTAGGGCATGAGGCTGTGAAGACTGGAGAAGCATCCCAGAGGTCTCCGAGGGCAAGGCTGGGGGCAGACTGGGCATACCTGCCCTTGGGAGGCGGAACCCCATCTTGGCACAGTTGATTGTTGTCAGATCTTATTACTTATCAACAACAGTCAGAAATCTGGGTTTTTATTTGAAAGTTACTAGTTCTTAAATGTTACCAAATAATTTTTACAACTTCAAAATACATTATTACACAAGTAGGCTAAACTTGGGGGTGGGAAAAAAAGGACACCATAAAAGAAGACAGAAGTCTGAGTATCTTGGGAGATAACATCTAACTACAGATAGCTCTTTTTATGTGTATTCTCCCATTCAATCCTTACCACAAGTGGAATGTGAGGAAGGCACTATTACCATCATAATGGTAGTTTTTGCCTGCCCAACATTAATTTTTCTTTCATTTTGTTCCAGCACTCACTTTTCACTGGGGACCCACCAATCCATGGCCACAATGTTGGGAGAGCCCACACGAGAATGAAGCTATAATATCCAGAGTAGAGCTTACAGAAGAAGGAGGACAGAGATGTCTGATGATGCTTGACCACCTGGGTCTATATATGCTTGAAGCACATTAGCCCCTGGATGTTTCTGTTAGGTGATCCAATATAATCTCTTTTTAATACATAAGTTAGTTTGAGTTGAGTTTCTTTTACTCACAACCAGGAGTCCTCGACAAGTTTCAGGAAACAAGATGGGAGCTAACTGACAGACCCGACATTTGGACCAGATCCCCTGTCTTTCCATTACATTGTGCTCCCCCTCATGGTTCAGCAAAAGGCAGAAAGGGAGAAGAAATCAAGGTGATGGGTTTGGCTTGTCACATACTGACTTTGAGTAGATAAATAGAACCCCTATTTGTTTAAGCCTGTTTAATTTTCTATGTGTGACTAAAAGCTACCCTAACAGATAAGCCATGTTTTCATTATTTGGTGTCTGCCTCAACCCTGTATCCTGTCACAAACCTGCGCAAAGGCCACCGCCACTGTGCCACTGCATGCATCAGGCAGGTTTTCTGTAGAATTTGCCTGTATCTCTAAGCCTGCTTCCTCTCCCATTCCAGTTTCTGCCTAGTTTGTAACTCCTGACTTCATTTGATTGTTGGTACTTCCTAAGCATCATGGACTTATGCCCTTCTGGATCTTTCTGCAGGTTCCTTCACCAACACCTATGACCACCTTGATGGTCAGGAACTCCCAAATCCCTCACAGATGGAATTTGGGCAACTTGGGCCTTTTCTCTAGAACACTCTTCTTTCTGAAGATTGAGAAAGCACTTTTTAGAAATAAGGCACACAGAAGCTACTTTGTCTATGAAAGAGACCAATGGCTCTCTGAGATATTAACCATGCAAAAAGAAGAGTGTCAGATTAGGCTAATCCAGATAACTCCTTTCCAAGAAGTCTTCTTCCTCCACTAGACTGTGAATCCCTTGAGGGCAGTGTCCATCATATTGGTAAGTAGGTGATCAACAAATATATTCTGCTAACATTGTATTCCAGAAATAACTCAATAAATCCTCAAAGAAGAAAAAGTTTTACCTCATGAGGAAGTGTGCTTAGAAACTAAATGTGTTTATTATATTCCTCAGCTCTGTGACCTCTGTTTGCAACTTTCTTATATTTTCCATCTCTTTACTGAAGTTCTCACTGTGCTCATCCATTCTTCTCCCGAGTTCAGTGAGTACCTTTATGAGCATTACTTTAAATTCTTTATTATATAAATTACTTACCTCTGTTTCATTAAGGCTTTCTTTTTTGTTGGTTTTGTTTTGTTTCCTGAAGCTTTATCTTGTTCTTTCATTTGGAACATGTTCCTCTGTTTCTTCATTTTGCTTGATACTCCCTACTGGTTTCTATGTATGAGATGAAACAGCCACCTCTCTGAGTCTTAAATGGTTGGCCTTGTGCAGCAGATGAACCCTGCCCTAGCAGCTGGCTGTCTCTCAACCTTTGTGACATCCGAACAGCCTATTTTATTTTTAATAGCTCCCAGTAGCAGAAGGTGTGCCAAGACCTGTAAGTGTCCTAAAGGGGAGGCTCATAATCAGAGCCTAAATTCAGGCTGTTAGATTGGAAGCCAAGCCCTCAGGCAGCAGCTTTTAAAGTACACAAAGATATACATTCCTGTGGAGCCACAGTTGTAAACTCTGTTGGCTTCCAGAGCCAGGTGATCTGGAGATGTCCCCTGGGTGGCAGTAGCAAAATCTGGGGCTCTAGATGAGTGTATTATCTCCTTGCCGGGAGATTTGGGTGAGCTGCAGTGAGGTGTAGAGAGGGCACAAAGATGGCATCCCCAGGCCTATATTCCCTGGGAGCATCTCTGTAGCCTATAGATGTGTGCCAAATCTGAAGTCTGCCCCGAAGGTCCATGCTCCAGGTCAAGCAAATAGACCTCTTTCACAGAGTGGCTAAGGGTGTGTTTCATCTGCTGTCTATTCCGGGCCCTAGGGCGGTAGCCTGCCAAGAATTGTCTTTCCAGTTGTTACAGTCCCACAGGACCCAGGAATGTGAGCCCCCCCACCCCCGGCCACCAGGGCCAAGAGACCAAGAGGTTTCCCCTGGGCAGCCGCAAAACCCAGGGCACCAGATGTAAAGGCCGGGACACCAAACATGTATAAGAGCGCCCTTCCAAGACATGTTAGGGCTCTGGAGTGTGGCAGAGGGACAGTTTAAGGACAGTGCCTGCCCTCTGAGGACTTAGAAAAGGTTGACAGGCAGTCCTTCAATGTGTGTTTAATTAAAAGTCTGCTTTTCAGGTTGCAGCTATGACGATAAGCTAATAGGCCTCTTTCACATCAATACTGAGCTCCTGGGTCTGTTGCCTCTTGCTGTGCCCCTGGGGTGGTAGCTGTTTAAGACTCTTCCTCTGTTGATTACAGTCCTATGGGGACTGCTAGTGCCACCAGAGCACTATAGAGTATAGAGTATAGAGACATCCCCTGGCAGCAGTGGCAAAAATCAGGGCCCCAAACTAAGCTATCAGCTCCTTTCTCTAAGATTCCAGTGAGCTGGAGCAAGGCAGAGGGACAGCATAAAGATTGCATCCACTGGCCTCCATTCCCTGAGACCCCACTCTGTAGGCTCCCAGATATGTTTAAAACCAGAAGCCTGTCACTCAGGCCAAAGCTCCTGGACCAGCAAATAGACCTCTTTCTCAGAAAGGTGGATGTGTGTTTCAGTCTGCTGTCTATGCGGTGTCCTGGGAGTGGTGGTCTGCCAAGAACTATCTCTAATTGCCATAGTCCCGTGGGATACAAGACCTCTTTCTCAGAGAGGGAGAAGAGGGAGAGGGAGAAAGAAAAGAGAGAGAAAAAAAAGTAAAGAAATAAAAAGAAAAAATTTAAAAAATGGTGCCCACTAGCTTTAGCAAGGCAGAGAGCAGGAAGATGGCTCCCACCATTCTCTGACCTGAGAGAAAATCCCAGCAGGCCTCTGGCTCTCAGACCCATACTTCAAAATTAGGAGACCAGTCTTTTTCACATAAAGTCTGGGCACTTTTCAAAGGGCTACTTCTGCATGGGGTCCTGGGACAGGTGAGTCTGCACACGGGCCTTTTAAGAGCCCTGTCTCAGTTGGCCATAACCCTGCAGGTCTCATGGGCGCTGGAACCCCTCTGATCTTCGAAGCCAAATGTTTTGCAGGCTTGTCTTTCAGGTGCTGGTCTTAGTATTTGGGGTGCCTGATGTACAGTACAATCCTTCATTCCTCAGGAGGAACTTCTGTATTTTGAGTTCCCTCCTGATTGTGAGTCACTGTAGTGGGGTTGGGGTTTACTGCAAGATTATGTCCCAGCATTTCCTACCTGTTCGATGGGGTTTCCCTCTCGTTTGCCCGATATAAAGGGGTTGCTCTGCCAGTTTTTAGGTTTTTTTTTTTTTTTATATATTGTCCATATGTAGCTGTAAATTCAGTATGTCTGTGGGAGGAGGTGAATTCAGGATCTTCCTGCATTAGCCATCTTGAACTGAACTCCCCAGAAACTAAGTGTGTTTAGAGAGGGACAAGTTTTGCTCAGTTTACTTCTCATTAGTTGTGCTCTTTGGGCAGAATACTAAAGTTACTGGCCTACATTGTGCTTACCCACAAAATAGTAATAACAATAACCTCTGTGCAATTCTTGTAAGGAATCTAAGTCAGCCTCATACTTGTGCTAATCATATACATTGATATGATATGCTGGGTTCATAAGGGTCCTTAAGGGCAATACTTTATTAGCCCAATTTGGCATAAAAACATGATTGGAAACAGTATAACTCCATGGAAAAGATACATTAGGTCAATTTTTTTTTAATTTTCTCACTGAAAGCTCATTACAATCCCTTTTGACATGGTTAGTGTTATCATTTTATAGAGGAATGCAACTGTGGCCCAGGTAGGTAAGCAGTGTTCCCAAGGTCACACAGTGGGTAAAGAGCAGAGCTGGGATTTCTCCTATTTGCTCTAACTCCAAGGTCTATGCTCTCAACCATTCTTCCCTCATGTCTTCTTTAAACTTTTGACCAAAGTTGATAGGCATTACTCAAACAAATGACATTTAACAAGGCTTTATTAAGAAATATCTTTGAAATTCTTCTGGGAATTGTCTTTTTCTTCCAGTGTAGACACTATCTACACTGTCTGTCTGTCTGTGTATGTGTGTCTTTCTCTCTTTTATAGAATCTAAATGTTGTTTCATCACTAGATCA